AAATGTGGCGGCTGAACACTTGAACTTTAAATTACGAGAATAGGCCCCAAGTCATGGCGGGTCAGAATGGCAGAAGCGCTGAGTTCCACTGAAGTGACCAATATACCCTTTCTTGATTGTATTTTTCTTTCGAAACAAAATGAAAACCCTATCATACTCGATAAACAATAATTGAAGTTTGAGGTTACTGCCGCTCACCATTCAACCGTTTTCAGCGCGGATCAATTAATGTTCATCACATGAATTAAATTATAATATTATGTTATTGTTTGATTTACTGTTAATTAATATATAAAATATAGTATGCATAAATAATAAAGTTTAATATTTTAAAGTTAATATATAATATATCAATTATATATAAATTAAAGTCCAATACTTAAATTATGATATGTTATAATAATTTTATATTATATATTATTACTAAATTAAATATAAATAATATTTGTTTAGTTATGTGATTAAATTGAAAATTACCCAATTCCTAAATTATCTCTTACAGGATAATTAAGATTAAAAATATTACCACGTGATTTTTAATCAATAAATTTATATAATAAACAAATAATTTCAAGAACCAAAATATAATTACATTCAATTTTTAACTCGTGCCATAAATGTAAAAAAGGGTGATTGGATATTGTAATTTAAATTTTATTTAGCTTCGTCTAAAAGTGTTACTATATAATTTATTTGATAAAAAACATTTTAAGACAAAAATAAAATTTTATTTTTTAATAAAAAAGGTTAACTTCGCCCTGTACATTCATTTGATCAAATTCAATCAAATTATAATATAGAAATTGCATCCAACACAATAAGCGATTAGTCTTAGATTTATTTAATTTCTGGCAAAACTAAATGACTTGGAGGTTTAGGGTGAGGAAATTTCCATGTTGGAAAGGACTTGCACTTGAAGGACATGACAACCGTCCTTTGGTACCGAAGGAGGGGGAGGGGGGAAACGTAGTATTTAAAGCCACATGTGAAATTAATGCAGGAGAGGACCTATCATAAATGGCTTTTCGACCTAAACATCACCCTCTTTTTCTAATATTTCTGATGTAACACCGTTTTTCCAATATTTTCTAAAGTAACACCCATTTTCAAAGGGCGTGTTTCAGAAGACGCTCCTTACATAGGTTTCTGCTTACTAGGTTGCTACGTAGGTAAGTCGCTTTGCAGGGGATGCACTTTAGTAGGATTTTGTGCCACGTCGGAAGAAACGTTTATGGGGACGTGCCTTCCAATAATTTTTAAATTTAGAAAGTGTTACCAAGCAGACCTTAATGTGTTAAAATTGTGTTTAAAAGTTTTTAAATTTATTTTTAATTTTTTTAGTTTAATCTTATTAATTATAATACGACTCTTGTATTGTTTTAAAAAATCATTTAGATTTTTAAGAAAAAATGTTAATTAATTTCATAAAATATTTTTAATATATTATAAATGTAATAATTTAAGTTTTAATATGATAAGTGTATAATAATTTAATTGTTAAGTAAATTAAATTACAGTAATAATTATTATAATAATTAAATAAAATGAGCATGATCAAGGATTGTTTTCCTACTATGCGTATAAGATCTTTCAACTTTATTTGAAATTATTCCAACTTAAAGTGGTAAACCCTATACTAATTTAACCTAAAATCACTTCAACCTAAATAAAAAATTAAAAAAATATCTCCGACTATTCTTAAATCATAACCTAAACCTTTTACCTAATAAATTATCAAATTCTAATAACCATAAACCACTATTACCTTCAACCCTAAAGTAGACCCCTAATTCAAATCATGTGAAAAACGTGTTCCCCAAAAGTGCTTTCGAAAGGCACATCCCACTGAAACGCTCTTTTCACTGTGACGCCACATCAACTAGAAGGAGCTTCCCTTGAAACGCGCCTTACCTCCACATCAGCAAATCCCGGAAGACGTTCCCCTAGAAACGCGCCTTAGCTCCACATCAGTCGAATGAGTGTTACTTTAGGAAATATTAGAAAAATAATATTATATCGGGAATATTAAAAAATTAGGGTGATATTTAGGTCGAAAAGCCTCATAAATTGATATGCATACTAGTCATAAAAATTATTGTCATTTTATTTTTTATATAATTTCTTACCATGTTTAAAATATATATAATTCAGAATTTATTGAATGGACAGTGGTTAAAAGAATATTGTTCTTTTTGAAGTTTTAGGTTTGAATAATTAGTTGTAGAGTATGTGTATTGTCAAGGTTAAAAAATTATGAACAAATATTACATTGTAATTATTCTAGACTATTTAAAAATGAGATATAGTACACAAATTTAGAACCGTTTGATGAATGAAAATAGATGACTAAGATTAACAGTAAAAAATGAAAAGATGTTCACTGGAAAAAACAATGAGTCGATCTCAGTCATCTATTTTTACTATTCCAACGGTCTTAAATTAGTATAAAACTAAATAGTTTTACATTGCGTACGTGCATTAGAAATATTTATAATTTATCCGAACCTATAAATCGAAGGTGATTGAATCTAAATACAATTGAACTCGCATTATTTTAAGCGATGTCATTTAAAATAACTCATTTACGCCTTTATAATTATGGATATATGTATTGATATAATTATTTATATTAATTTATTAATCAGTTCATTTCAATTAATTATAGTATAAATTTATTATAAAGTTAATCTTTAATTTGATTTCATTTATAATATTAAAAATGAAATTTTAAATATTATTTTAAAAATCTAATGTTTAATTTTATTATTTTTAACGATAATGAAATAAATAATGTACAGGAAACATAAGGTTAATTGTTGTTTGGCAAAGGTTTGACATTCGAGTTTTTCTAAATCATTCAGTTGAATCTTTATTGTTGATGCATTTAGATTGTATTGTCGTAGTATAATTTTAATTAAAAGATCAATATATCGAATACAAATGATTAATTAAAAAAATAAAAATGTATTAATTATGTTTGTATATATATATATATATATATATATATAATTTTACTCAATGTATTAAATATTGGATAATATTTTTATTTATAAACTAATACTCAATACTAAGCCAAAATTATAAGAAAATTTTGTAACCATTGATTGCCAATGTCAACACGACACGTGCAGACCCAAACTTTATTAAGAGCTGCATTTTCGGTTTAAGAAATAATTCAACATCATTTTCTACGGTTCACATGGCTTGTTGAAGTGACCCCGACATTCGCGAAACCATCAACAACAATTCCATGGCACTTAACTTTGTCCCAAAGTGTTATTTATGAAAATTATCCAAAACGGTTGATGGGCCAATGGTTTAGACTTGATTTTGGAGAATTTATGAGCCACCTTATGCATAGTTATGACGGTCGAAATGGTAGGCAGCAACCACCCACGCTAACCTCACAAATTCCATCCTCTTGTGCTAAGACGAGATTTCATGGAAGATCTCATATTTGACAGTCAGGGGGTGTTTGGATTGGGGAATGTGGGATTCCCATGGGAATGGAATCCACATTCCCCCGTTTGGTTAGCACGGGAATCCTATTCCCGGTAATGTAAGATTACCAATAGTGGATTTTTTGGGGTATATTACCGGGAATGTCATTACCTCACTTTCTTTAGGTATTGTTGGATTACCGGCGTTTTAGACTAAAATGCCCTTAAATTTTTATTTTTTTTCAAAAATATATTTATTATGTCATCGAATAATAAAAATTTTACGAATGTTAAATTAAATTTATCCTTAAATTATTTTAGATTTACAAAAAAAAATCTATAATTAAAATTTTATATAAATTCAAGGGTTTAAATAAAATTTTACCCTTTCATTAAACTTTTTTTATTTTTAATTTTGTAAAAATATATAATATTATGAATTTAATTTTTTAAAGAAAATATATAATATTTTCCAACTTGTAATATTACACAAATATATAATTAGGACAATTTGGTTAAATATACATTCCAATAATCTTTTATTCCTTTAACCAAACACGATAATCTTACATTCCTGCTAAGCCAACCAAACACAAAATACAACATTCCCAGTAATGCTATTCCTTGGTAATCTTACATTCCCACTGATAATCTTATATTCCGTGAACCAAACGCACCCTCAAAGATATTAGGTTAAATTATATATTTAGACATCCAACTATTATTTTGATTTTGTTTGGTCATCAGATTTTTTTTAAAAAATCACATTTAACGTTTTATTTTGAATATTCGATGTTAAAAAATTAACGATGATGCAGACATACCATCATTAATTTTTTTTATCACAGTAGTAATTTGGTTTTTTGTAAGGGCAATTGACCAAAACAGAACCAAAACGTAATACTAAATATGATTTTGAAAAAAGAAAAATAATGATTAAACAAAACTAGAAAATAGTTGAGTGACTAAATACATAGTTTTCTGAAATATTATTGTAGGCAATGGATCAAGTTTACCCATTACTCATGTTGATCATTTATTTACACGCTTAAATAAGTGTTACTTTAGGATCATTTGTTACATGAGCAGAATATTAATACGAATCTTATGTTTGTTTCTTAATTTACTAAAGATTATTTAATATATTTTGAATTTCATCTTAATCCGTGTTGTATTGAGAATGAACATTCTCATAAGGAGTTGTTTTAAAGTATTGATAAAAATGATTTATACGTGTTCTCTAAAACTTCAATTACATCCAGTAATATGCTTAACAGTTATGATTACTACTCTATGTCGCAATTTGGAAACAACTTGTGAATATGGATCTAATTTAGACCATGTAATGTCTAAAAATTGAGTGCTCGATGATGACTAGAATGTAATCTCTTAGACATTCAGTGTGCTCTAATGTGAACATTTAAATATTTTTTTGAAAAATAATTAACAAGTAATGTATTATGCCCTCGCAGGGGGAATTTATAGTACGGGGATAAGGTCAGATACACCACTTTAAAGTCTAAACAGAAAGTGAAAATAGTAGTAGAGAAAGATAAAGACTTAAAAAATGTTATTACAAGCTCTGTTCTTGAATGGGATGGCTTGAATTGGGTGAAAGAGTGCAGCCCCAATGAAAGGTTCAACCCAAAAGATCCACTGTTAAAAAGGATGAAAAATGCAAGCTTATTATACATGTGAAGCATATCAATCAAAGGAACAACCATGATAACGAAGGTTATAATTAGGGATGAATAGAGATACTTAGAACGGTCGTACTTCTTAAAATTTTAAAATTTCTATACAGTTTATGTATTTTCTTTTGATGATTTAATTTCACATCTTTTAAAATTTTATAATTTTGTCCCCTAAATATTTAATATACTATTTAAAGGTTGGTTCTCCTGACAGGATCTTGCTTCCGTCACTAGTTATAATGGTTTCTAAAACTTACATGGTGATCCCAAGCATGGTCCCTCTTGTAGATGATGGCAGCTTCAAGGCTACTGGCAGGGTTACTGCCTGTTCCTGTGATGAGGATGGCTGCCAAGTGAACCAAGAACACCGCAAACCCAATAGGCAACGTGGCCAATATCTGCAATGTTATAATTGGATATTCGATGAACCATTTCATTTTTATGGATTCTTAAATGCTAACTAAAAGCAAAAGAATGGTAGACATGGTTATGAAGGAGAAGCACTTACAGCGACATGAGTCTCTGCCATTTCTCTTGGCATCGGTTGCTGAGAAAACAGTGTAATCGATAACAAATGTGGCAATAAGCTCAGCTCCAAGGCCGGCCCCTTTGGTGTAGCCATGGTTCACAACATTGGCTCCACCACCCAACACCTCATATCTCGATGGTTGGAACCCTTTCACAACCCCAGCACCGCATATTGCGCCCAGGCATTGCATTACAATATAAAAGATGGCTCTGCTCAGAGAAAGCTTTCTTGCCAGTAAGAGACCAAACGTCACAGCTGGATTTATGTGTCCACCTATTCAAACCACGAACATGAAAACAAAAATGTTAATTGTTGTACCCGTTAAAATACCTTTTGCACATTGACTCCATACTAAAAGACCCTTAAAGAATTTCAAAATATCTTCTAATCTCTGGAAGACATAAATGAACATTTTTAGAGGAAGAACCTCAAATATATAATATCCATAGGAAAATCACAATTAATTGATATGATTTTGATATGCTCCACAACACCTACCAATGTTAAATTTATTGATTAGTCAACCTATAGATATCTATTATGATCGTACACTTGACGTACACATAAAAGATTATTATAAAATCTCTCGAGCATATTAATCGAGAGATGAGATACGACCTTAAAAAAATATCTCACTCTTATTCATCTATATTATACATTCTCGTAAAGATGGAGAATATCGATACCTATCTACAATCGATCTATCATTGACTGTTATTCCCCATCTACAATCGCTACAATTCATTTGGTATATCAATAAAAAAATAACCTATAACCTTCGCAATCCATTTGATCTCGTCAATATTAATTAAAAAATAATAAAGAGGTAAAGAAGCGAAGCTGACCTGAGGTACCAGCGGTGCAGTGAACGGGGCGAATATTATGTCGCCGAAGGCCCAAGCAATGCCTTGGATACCGGTACTGGCACACTTGGAAGGAGCCCTATTAATACCTATGACGGTCAAGATAGTGATGTAAAGGAGCAAGAACGTTGCTACAAACTCGGCAATCCCGGCTCTCCAAAAGGAACATGAGTGGAGCTCACTAGGCTCCAACAGCTGAGCTGGTGGTGGTTCTTTGTAGTCCTTGTCTGTCTGTGGCTCTGTGCTGTTGTCCATATGGGTTGTCTTTCGAGAAATTGTTTGCTCCCAGATTAACGTCCTCTTCTTTGTCTTCCATCTGTTCTCCCCTCAATGCAATGGAGAGAGTAGAGTTTATAATTTATAGAAAGGCTAAGCTAGAACCATTGAGTAAATAGCCACCGTTTGTTTAAATGTATCGGCCGGAGAATGGCAAAAATGCAAGCAGAAAAGGATCAATGATGATGTCAAGATGTTGTGGGAGACTGTTAAGAGCGTGACACATTTACGGCGAGAGAATAAATTATTTTTTGGAACAAAATATGAATCTGTGGCCATCTTCCAAGCTACTAACTCTGTGAAACGAGTCAGTAGAACCCAAAACCTATAAGTTAAGTCGGAGCTTTATGGAACCATCCAGCTGGGCTCAAAGCGTGTGAGTTGACTCGTTTGTTATCGGCCGGAGAATGGCAAAAATGCAAGCAGAAAAGGATCAATGATGATGTCAAGATGTTGTGGGAGACTGTTAAGAGCGTGACACATTTACGGCGTCGAGAGAATAAATTATTTTTTGGAACAAAAATATGAATCTGTGGCCATCTTCCAAGCTACTAACTCTGTGAAACGAGTCAGTAGAACCCAAAACCTATAAGTTAAGTCGGAGCTTTATGGAACCATCCAGCTGGTCTCAAAGCATGTGAGTTGACTCGTTTGTTCGTTAATGGTAGCCAGTGAGTTGACTCGCTTGTTCGTTAATGGTAGCCAATAGTTTATAGGCTGTTTAAAGAAAATGATTAAGTTCCTCAAATAGGGTCTAATTTGATTTAGCTATCGCTGATATAGTTTGAGGAGATTCTTCTTCCAGTCCATGGCTCACCTCTCGGTGTCTACAAAGAGGATATATGGAAGCCAAAGATGGTACAGGTTTTCCCATTTTCTTCATAATTTTCAAGGTCAATATTCAGTTGCACGATCAGGGTTTCAAATTCTGGCTCCTGCACTAAGTTTGAAGGGTTATCCATTAAAAAAGGAAAAGAAATATTCTGCACTGCAGGGCTGTAACTTTTTTTTTTATTAATGCAGGGCTTTAACTTCGTTAACTGATAACAATGAAATCATTTTTTGTTTTGTTTATTAAGTCTATGCAACATTGGCAGTAAATTTCTGAAATACACTGTTATATGTTGAAGATGACTCTGCTTCCAAAGTATGATTAGGATCTATTTTATTAACTTTTCTCAAATTCGGAGCTCGAGTTACTGAGTCGTGTCAATAGGTTTCCGAAAAGGTTTGCACCATTCATTCGCAGTTTGCATATATCTATATTACTTTAAGTTTTTAGTGTGAATATCGGGTATTGCCGTATTAGTAAGTACAGTCTTTAAAGAGTCATATCTCCAATTCTATATCTGAATATGTGATACACTTAAAGGAAAATAGAATAATAAAGAGTTTAAATATGCTATATATCCTTTCAATTCAGTTAAATGAAACAAATTGCATAAACTTATCTGGTTGAAAGTTGACATGGTTGGCTTAGGGTGGTCTTGTAAATTTGTGAGGATTCTCCATTTTTTGGCAATTGGAGAAGAGAATATGGATTTGAGAGTTGCAGAAAGTAGAGTGATGAGAAATTAGGAGCATTATTTTCCTGTTTAAAGAAGATAGAGACTTATCTGTAGTGATGGAGGAATTGTAGGGGCCTTTTTATAAATGTCGAAATCATAATTTCAAGGGAAAAAATAGGATCAGCAAGGGATCGGGGTTTTGAACCCGACTTAAATCGAACACGCAACTTTCTGATCCGGAGTCAGCCGCGGTACCATGCGCCACGGATCCGACATTAACATTGTTTCATACGCTAAATATTAATACAATATTTAATTTTATTAAATAACTTCTTTTCTCTAAATCTTGTTCTTTATGAAATTTATGTGGATGTAAATGGAAAACGAGCGTTACTATTAATAAATGAGTTCATCTATGTTTTACAAATAAACTCAGATTATTTAAAATTAGTCCACTTAATTAATTATGTCAAGCCCTCAGAACCTTCAAACCCAAACTGTCGAAATATCAGAGTTAAGGTCTGGCGGGACGTGTAACATCCTCAATACCGGGTTAGTGACTAAATTGAAATATTTCAGAATTTGGTGATTAAAGTAGAATAATTGAATAGTTCAATAATTTATCTGAAAATATTTCCTAAAAGTTGTTAGTAATTATTAAAGGAATTAAGGGCAAAATGGTCATTTGACAAGAAAATTTTTTATATTCCTTTTATAAGAAAAGGGAACCACGTGGGAAAGGAGAGAATTCTCCATAGTTTTCTTTCTTCTTCTTCCTCTTCCCGTATCTCCAAGCTCAAAGGTGAGTTTCTTTGTTTGTTGATTAATTGTTGATTTTAAGGTTGTGTTATGATCATTAGATGATAATTAAGCTTAAGGAAAACTTAATTTGTTCTAAAACAACAAGGTGAAATATATAGAAGAGATTAAAGAAAATGAGTTTTTAGATGAATTTTTGGAAAAGAGTTAATAAGTGAAATTTGAGAAGGAATTTGACTTGTCATCACTAAGAATAAGAGATTTATGAAGTTAGAAAGGATTAATAACAAAGTTGAAAGTTTAGTAAGATTCTTAATTTTAAGAAACGTGATGAGATATGGAAGATAGAGATGGTTTATATAAATACAAGTTGGTTTAAGTAATGGTAGTTGAGTTTAATGACATGATAGAGGCTTAAAATAGAAGAATTGAATGAAGAGTTGATGATTTTCGGGCGTAAAATACAAATTATGGGCAAAGTGTATTGATGCACATTCAATGTGTACCAATGCACTCTTTAAAGAATAAATATCGAATGCAATGAGTGCATCGATGCATAGGTAGTGCATCGATACACCCCTTAAAATGGAAACATCGAATGTAAATTGTGTATTGATGCATGGGGTAGTGCATCGATGCACATGTTAAGGGATGCATCGATACACTGTAGAATGTACCGATGCACTTCAAGGGAAAATAGAATTAGGTCTTTCTTTTGGCCTAAGAAAGATAGATTAGAATACATCAATTAGATATTGATATGTATCAATGTATAAACATGTAGATATCAAGCACGAACAAGTTCTGGGATGACCATCAAGTTAAGATTCGATCGGAAGAAAGGAAATCATAAAAGGGGATTGGAACTTAGTGAGGCCAAGGTGAGTGCATACAAGTTAGTTTATGATGTTTAATGGAAATAAGACTTGCGACGAGTCTATTTCCTATATTAGAATGCATGAATTTATGATCATATGCATGTTTGATTTGGGTATATGTGATATATATACATTATGTATTAAAATTTGTGTGAATACATGTATTGTGATAAGTTATAGGAATTAATATGAATGATCTATATGATTACATGGGAATGTGAAATAAGTTATGTGATAGATGACCATACATGTTACATAGTATACGTGATCAATTATAAGAATCAATATAATAGATTTATATGACTACATGAGAAAGGCGATGAGTTAAATAAGATTAAACTATAGAGTAAAATGAGAATAATATTTAATAAAGGGAATTGAGTATAATGATGATATCAAACCATAGATAAGTATTTACTTATAGGATAATATGAGATTATATGAATATATAGTATAACTTTATGAGGAAGAATTGGTGAATAAGTGTCACCATAAGAAAGTTAAAAGATCTAATGATGTGGTTAGAATTTGTAGAGAGATAGAGAATAAGTGCATCAGTGACAAGCGTATAGGATATATAAAGCCAAAGTTTATAAGTTTGAAATAAAGAAATAGTACCGTGTATAAGTAAGAATGTGGATATAATAAGCATTTTAGATGGAAAGAGTTAGCGTTGGCTAACCAGATTATGTGATGAAAAAGGTATATAAATTTAATATTTTGAGATTTTGTCAGGATAAGACAACCAAAGATAAGGTGGATCGGGATACAGTTGTATATTTTGATCATAGTAATGTGATATAGTGAAGGAAGTGAAGATTCGTATGTTTGAGTAAAGCTAAAGATTGATAAAAAGAGTTTAAGAATGGATACCTCAGTGATCAGTTTATAAGATAAAAGAAGTTAGAATGTTAAGTATGAACAATGGAAATTACATGGTGTATGAGAATGAATGGGGATTCGATAAGTTATGTAAATTATTATTGAGATGATTTTGATTGGAAAGGAAAAAGATTTTTGGTTACTGTTTATATGATAAGTGACATTGGAGGTTAAAGAATAATATTTTGTATAAGTAAAGTTGACTATCAAAATCATAAAAATGTGATAAGGAGTGATAGTTAAGGATAAATATATAAGATATAAAAGAGCAAATGAGTAGTACTATGTATGAGTTTGAAAAGTTGAGTAAGATATCGTTGAGAAATATGCGATAAAGATCGGTAATCAGAGATGAGTATAAGTCGTAAAAAACATGTGATCATGAAATAAAAGATATGACTTATGTATAAGAAGATTTTGATTTTGAATGAATAAAGGAATAATGGAATAAGGAAATGAAAAGGATTAAGTTTAAAGGATCAGATATGATAAAGGTTATATGGAAGTGTAGATGATATATTTGATATAGAAGTAAGAGAAGTGTATAAGGTGATGTGAAAAGATTGCTTAATTTTGTAAAGTGTATGTTTAATCATATTTTAAGAAGATTTAAGGTTGTGTTTTTGGTCAAATGATGAAGGAAAAAGAGTTTGATTATTATTATAAGGTAATTAGAGATAGATGTTACTGTCTACGTGATGAGTGACATTATATGGAATCTTAGAAAGGTCAGAGGAAAATGCAGAATCGAATGAGAGAAAAGACATGAATGGACTGAGGTTACTGGTTACTGTGTATATGATAAGTGACAGTAAATGAATGTATAAAGGAAAAAGGAAGTTGAAGAACTAAAGGAATAAAAGGTTAAGTAAAGGAGACAACATGAGAACATTAAAAAATATGTTCTTATCGGTATGTGCAATGAAAATTCGAGGACGAATTTTCTTTAAAG